AATAATAATAATAATAATAATAATAATGAATCATAAAATACATCCTCCAAAAAATCCAATAATTGAAATCAGCACGTTTCTACGATTTTACAACCAAAACTGTTAAAAACAATCAAACACTGTGGTAGAAAAGTCAAGAACACAAATCTTTGTTGTGATTTCTTTATCACATTTGTTTTCCCACTACCAAAGCCAAAGTGTGGTGCACTGTCCGGTTCATTTGTTCATGTAAGCAGCTGCATCTTTGTCCTTGAGCAGAGATTCAAATGTCCTTTCTTTTTGATGCGCTGACAGTAGTCTTACACTCAATTATAATACACACAATACTAAATCAAGGTCAAACCCTGCTCCCATTTAGTATCTTCATTAGCAAGATTAATGAGTAATAATTCTGCACATTGCAATGAGGATTCAAAAGACACTAAAATCTTTCCATTAATTTTACAAACGCTGCCACTGTATGACAGACACATTATAAGCACCACAATACTTTAGCATATTTCAAATCAAGCAAACACATTCATAAATGTGGACTCACCTCTCCACACAATCACTTAACCGAGATGCCAGGGATGACGCCGGAGCATCGTGGCCTCCGATGGCGTACAGGAACCCGTGCCACGTGGCCACGCCCACACCTCCACGCCTTTTAGCCATAGGGGCACAACCACTCCACCTAAAAATGAAGAATACAGTTAGAAAAAAAGGAGAGGGAAACATATTGTTTGAAAATTACTTTACTCTTTCCAGTCCTTCCAGTAGACCTTAATCAAAGTACATGACAAGCTTTTTTCAGTGTTGTCTGTTCTAACATCCTGTGAGGGTTACTAGTCTCCTTTGATCTGTGGGTAAATAACCTAACAGGAAGAAGCGCTTCACTAGAGGAACATGTAGACAGGAAACAAAATAGGAGACAGCAATTAGTTGCTGACAGATGAAGTCCCCGATCTCTGACCTGTTGGTGTGGGGGTCGAAACACTCCACTGAACGCAGGCAGGATGAGCCGTCACGACCTCCTACTGCATACAATCTGAGGAAGAGGGAAGATGGTGTTATCCCTCTGAACATTTCTGGACTCTGGAAGTCCCTTTTCAATTTAGTGACACTGAAGCAGATGGTACAAGGTGGAAGACAGGCATATGTGTGTGTCTGTGTGTGTAGCTTGTGAAGGTTTTTTTGAGGGCAAAATGAGGTGGGAAAAATCAATCAGCCATCACTCTTGGTGCAACACAACCCTGAGCAGTCAGTCTGTGTGTGTGTCCTTGTGTGTGTGTGTGTGTGTGTGTGTGTGTGTGTGTGTGTGTGTGTGTGTCCATGGATGTGAAGTTGGGACGGTAAAGAAAAAAATGAAACGGGGCCAGTCAAGCAAGTAATGAGTTCCATCAGGCAAAGCGCTCTGAGAGTACACAGCACATATAGTACATGACACACTCACCAAAGCACACAGCAATGCTCACACACACACTAACACACACACACACACAAAACTGCTGGGCAAGGTTAGCCGTTGCTTCTGTATTAATTAGCATCTATAAAGCATTTCACTGTCTCTGAGGCCCTGAATAATAAAAACAACATGCAATATTTGGTTCTAATAACTTCCAATTCTTTGGCCAGCGAGGCACTAAAAGCCCTAAAGCCTTATTAAATCCAGCTATTTAAATAAATGTTCGTCTGTGTGTGCATGTGTGTGAATGAATATTGTTATGCTTTCCATTACGGCCTCACGTGTCTTACAGAAGAAGGTGGGAAGTGACAGTAGTATAAACGTAACACTTTTATCTTCCAAACAAAGAGCGAGATTGTGAAGGTTTCAGGTCTCACGTTTCTCAAATGACAAAATATTTACAAAATCTTCTCTTTATGCCACACGTATCAAGTCACATCTTGCATAAAATTATTTTTTATTTGATTTTTGAGAGAAATATCAGCAGCTGGTAACACTGGCTTCAAGCTTAGCTGGCAGATACTTTTGCTTAAAGTCATTCAAATAAATATAGAATATCACATTTTAACCCCCCTGGCGCCTGCACTATGATTCATTTGTAGTATCTTGTCTGTATTGGTACTATTTAACTTTGAAATATGTAATTTAACGCTGCACTTTGAGCATCTTAGTTTATTTTTTTTATATTTACATCTATATTTCAATTGAGGTTGCATTCTGCTACTTCCAAATGTCCACAGCAACACATCAGGGGCAACAATTAGGGCCCTCTTTGACAGACAGGTGTCCCTACACGGTCAATGATTGCCTAATTGGCTTCACCTGAAATGGCCCTTTACACTGCGTTTGTGATGTTGATGCCTTTTGGAGCCCTTTAAACTTGAATTAACTAACAAATTATATGGCTCGCTATGTGTAACAGATGCAAAATGCTAATTCCAAAACCAAAACGTCTACACTCCATAACAAACGGCCAAAGCTGTGTTTTGTGCTAAAACAGATGCGCTAATATTGAATGCACTTAATATAACTTAGAACAAGCAAATCTGAGTAACTTTTTACCTGAGGGGAATTGTGAGATCACTTACTTGCCATTGAGAACAGCTACTCCCACTGTGCTTCTAGGTGTAACCATGCTTGCAACAAAGCTCCACTGGCGTCCTTGAGGGTCCCACCTGACAGACACAGTGTAATTTCTCAATCCTGCTCAAGGCACAGCATAAAAACCTGTATCTCTAAGGTCTCAGTCACACAGGCTAGAGACCGGTCAGCAACTCCCTGGCAACCTCCAGTCACTAGGGAAAAATGTGTGAGTGGGGCTTTAGCAATCATTTCACAGCAGCTACCATCAAACTCAAACAACCCTCACTAACTGCTCAGGAAACGTCCATTTTTTCCTCGTGACCAGTGGTTGCAACCCAATGTGACCTAGGCCTTACCAATAATGAAATATGTAATGTTTAAGAAGGGAATCAAAATATCTGTCAACAGTAAAATGTCATTTTAAAGAGAGACAGCCGTTTCTCCACAGAAAAACAGTATAAAAAAGCAGGGATATGAACAGCAAAACCTGGTCATACAAACCCAAGTTTACCCATATGACTAACTACCAGACAAAGTAAGTGACACTATTTAATAATTTGGATGAATTGACCCTTTAAGCTGGGTTGATATCACAGAAAAAAACAGCAGTGTGAAGTTATTTTGCACCTTTCCACTGTACTGAGGTAACTCCAGCCATCATGTCCTCCTACTGCATACATGGGTCCCTCTAGAACAGCCACACCTGCAGAAGATAAACACACGTACTATTAAATCATGAAAACTTCTCAAAACCAAATCAGCCAGGATAAGCAAAGCATCACACATATAAAGCATCATACTTTTAGGACAAGAGGTGTTAGTTTTTATGTGTGTGTGCAACTACACCCAGGGCATTAGGCATGTAGAGTTAGCAGCATGTTGAAACCTCTGTACTTCAGGGATTTATCTGCCTAAACATCTGTGCTGCCAGATGTGTTTGAAAACCCACCACGGTTCACACACTTGCACACTTTCGTAAACACAATAAAACAGCACAGCACGCCTTATCAAATGTTGTTATAGTAATAGCAGGACACTGCTGCGAGTGGGGAGATGCCTTTCAAATGAGAAACATGGGCTCAAACCAGCCTGCTGAAGTGTTCTTGAGCCGTGGCACCGAATCTGCTGATCCGCTGCAGTTGAGTTGCTCTTTTTTGTCACTTTATTGCGTTAGGAAGCAAGTGTAAGGACAACGTTTTAAGGATTGAATCCAATTTCATAACCAAATATTTTTTTCTTCAAAACTTTACTTTTATATCACAGTGCTTAATATCTTTGGGACACAGTTTATCCACAATGGAGCAGGGTGTGTCTGTAAGGTGCATCTAAGCTTCTGTTTTGATCAAAATTTGTAAGGTAAAGTCCAGTTTATAGAACAGCACAAAGTGAAGACATGCAGGAGTGTATCGACGGCAACTAAATTTGAGATAAAGTATAAATACAGCCCAAACAGGACACCTACCTTCTTGACTCAAAATTCAAAATCTAAAGCAAAAATAAAAGAAAATATAAGTTGTCAAACTGCCCTCACCTAGGCCATGCCTGTGTGTGGACATGGGGGGCATGACGCTCCAGGTTTTGCTGTGTGGGTTGTAACACTCCACAGTGTTGAGTGTCTTGAGTCCGTCTCGCCCTCCAACTACATAGAGACGCCCGTCGAGGACTGCTACACCAAACTGTAGTCTCCGTCCACTCATGGTGGCAACCTGCCTCCAGGTGTCTCGACGTAAACAATACTGCTCAATAGTCGTGGCACCTGAAAAAAAAAAAAAAAGAAAGAAGAAGAAGTACGTGCTATTAATTCTGAAACTCTCTAAACTGTACTTTTTCACACTTTGTCCTTTTATGCATTAAAAAAACAATTCAAACTTGCACCTTCTTGATAACGCTTTCTCACAGTTGTAGGATAGTGTTAAACCTGTTGACACTGATGCTCAATATTTCATTTAAAGGTAGAACTAAAGGAGCTGCTCATTAATGTGGAATCTGTTAAGCTATTAAGGTGAACCTATTAGGCTTGTCCTTACTTCCTGTAGAACCGACTCGGTTCCTCAAACTACACATGCGGTCAGCAAATGTACAAGTAATTACTTTAAGCAAAAAAAACCTTCAGATTACCCTAAACAGCCTGTTTAGTGAAGGAATACCCTTAATATGGTAATGTCAGCTGTGGCTGTGAGCAGAGATGCCCCATCTATTGAAATCTTCTGTTTGTAATGGGCATCAATCAGAACAAAGCTTTTCTAAATGGAAGTTACCGACTCTCAGTTTGTAGCATTTGTCACAGTTTAACTGTAAGCTCAGTCCTCCTCTACCACAGCATCACCTGTGTCTGGATGTGAGATGCTGTTGTACCTTTCGTAGCATCCATGCCACCCACAGCGAACATGGCCCCTACGGTGGCCTTGCGAGGCCGAGTGCGGGGGCTCTGAAGCAGGGGCCGACGCTGGGGTAAAAGGTGATACTTCATCCCCTCCATCAGGAGGCGTTGGCACTCTACACTCTCCCGGAGGAGAGGGTTGCTCTCAAGGTCCGCTAGGAACTACAGACACATGCAAAAAAGAAATGAGAAAAAAAAGCAAAGGCATCAACACGCAGAATCATGTGACAGCTGCAGCTGGAATATATGGAGGGCACACGCATGTGCTACATCAGTATGGGTGCAGGGACATGTTGGCTGCGATGTTATCGCTGATTGAGGAGGTTCAAGAGCCGAAAGAAGGCTGCTCTCTCTCATTGAGAGATTAGATGAGATCAGACCAACAACCATTAATGCGCTCTCGCACACGAGACCACGCACACACTGATCATCTGACACACTAGAGAACTAATCTGCCCTCAACATCTCATCAGCTCTCCACACCCTATAACCTCATCTACAATCACACACACACACACACACGTGCGCAAAGACACAGACACACAAATACCCAGGAGCTGCAGCAATCCACAGCCTGTTCCTGAAAACACATCCTGAGGAAACTGCTGCCTGTGAGAGGCATGGTAGTGAGAATCAAGTTTTCCCTGAAGCATGGGGGGGAATACACGATTTACATTTAGATAGGTATGTGTTTGTGTGTTTGTGTGTGTGTGAATTTCGAAGTCATTTTAGGTTAGACTTTGAGAATGCCTGCATCTCTGTTTTTGTCCCGCATGTTCAGACAGTCACTTAGATTCAATCACAGAGAGCAGGTATAATGGAAGAACTAGAAGATAAATAAAAAAGAAGAGGAAAGAGATTATTATTTTTACCCTCTCATTTATTTTCTGTGTTCTCCTCCATAATTCCCACCAACACAAATAACATTCAGCTCAAATAATTCAACTTGGTCACTGAATATAAAATCAATTTCCCCCCCGCCAGACGTGGAGAGCGTAAAGCAGGCATGGTAAATGGATAAGCAGCTTACACACCAGGGTGAACCCACACTTCTACTGCGTACAATCACTGAGGGACAAATTACGGCGAACCCTATTTGCGCATTCATTCATGTGCATGTGTGTTAAAAAAACGGACAGATCGAAAAAAAAATAGTGTTTGTCCTCTCCGGTGGTATTTATACATCTCTCTGTGAAGGACTGAATGTGGAGGATGAGATAAGACAGCTTGCTGCAGGCGTCCCACCTTGTCCTCTCCGTCCTCTCTTTACCTCACAGTGGGCAGAGAGAAACTTGTGTTATCTTCTCTGTTTCAGCTCACGCTTGAGAGAGAGAGAGAGAGGGGCAGCATGGGCTCTGTCTTCTTCTAAAAAAAAAAAAATAGGCACACTCTCATACACACATCTTCCAGCTACGCACATTTTTTATTCCTTATGCGTGTCCCTGTTGCTGGATGTGCTCTTGCTCTAGCTGTCCTCTCCATCTTGACTTTTTGTGAACACCATACCACTGCACAAATTCCCACAAAACACAACTTACAAACAATACTGCTATGCAAATAATTTAATATACAATTTTAATCATTTCAGATTTAATGTTGTCCTTTGAGGCAGTTCACTGGTTTTAGGCCTGACTGTAATATCTCAGGAACTACTGGGCGTACAGCCATGACATTTTTTCCACATACAGTCATGGTAGCCACAGTCTCTTTCATTTTAGTGCCATCATTTTAGCTGTATATTTACTTTTTCCAATACTTGTACCATATCTTGTATTTAGCACTAAAAAATACAAGAAATGAACTCATTCAGTGCTAAAAAAAAATGCTGGCATCCTCACGTATTAAAGTGAAAATCTAAGTGTAAGTAAACATTATACCTGTGAAATAAACTAGCATATTAGCACTGTCGTATTAGATTTACAACATTTGTTTTTTTAGCATCGTGTTGTTGGAAGGCGGGCTTTTAAATATATAATACATCTCGATTCAGGTTTGCAGTAATCCATATTCTTATAAACATATTAAGAGCCAAGGCACACCATGATAAATATAATAGCATCTTTTCACTAGTGCTCTGACCTTGTAGTGTTGTTAAAAATTAAAAAACAAAACAAGGGGAAGTGTTTTACTGAATTTCCATGACAGAAAAATAAAATCTCATTTTAATTCTTCTCCCTGGTCTACACTGCCAATTTTGCTTCCTGAGATATCACATAGAGAAACTTACATTTATATTTTTTTCTCCAGATTACAAGCAGCAAGCTGTGCCTGTCTTGGGAGAAGACTTTGCACTATTTTTGGTAGGCTGCATTGGTTTTTGCCATTACTTTACTATTACTGAAATAAACTGGCTGTGGCTGTGTTCATTAATTTACTCAACTGTTGTCAGATCATCTGAAGAGCTTTGCAGTCTAATTTTTTCTATAATCGTGGCTTCACAGTAAGGTGCTGGGGTCGTTATGGCTCAGGATATAGAGCAGGTCATCTACCAATCAGAAGGCTAGTAGTTCAATCACAGTCAGACACTGGACAAGATACTGAACCCTGAGTCACTCCTGACACATTCGTCAGGGTGTGAATGTTAGAGAGAAGAATTACAGAAAGAAAATGATGCTTTGCTGGCAGCACTGTACAAACTAATAAGAATTAAAACCCAACAAAGAAGTCAAATAGGCTCGCAAACGGTCATATCCAGAGCAAACTAATCTTGGTTCACTAATCTGACCCAAAAAATAGGACTAACAGTTCTTATAAAAACGTGCCTGGAATATGTTAATTTATCACCATGAGGATAATTTGGGTGAAGGCCTATTAAGTGATCATCATGTGCAAGTTTTATTAAATTCTGACAAATAGTGTAGAAGGATTACCAATTCTTGTGAACTGTGTCCAAGTGGCTGCACATCATCATTTAGCAAGACGCTTACTTCTGCTTTTCTGCATACCCCATACATACAGGTTAAGTTCATTGAAAGGTCATATAGTATGGCTGGAAACAAACGCATACACATGCACCTACACACACACACACACACACACACACACAGAATACGGACGCTGATGTTGTTCATATTCCTGCTTAAGAATGTCACGTGTATTTGTAATTGCATATTCTTGTATGTGACAATAAAAAGGGCTGTAGCGAAGGAATCAGTTGAAGTGAGCTGAGTTCAGGTGAAGGAATCTTTTCCTCAACTTTGGCTGACACAGAGAGCACCTTCTTGCCTTGTTTTGTCGTGCAGTTGAGTGTCTTGTGTTCCAGCGGGGTTTGTGCCTAGATAAACCCAACAGATGAAGACACCCACGTAGGCTTCAGCTGCCAACATGCTCCATCAGACCTGCTTGTCGGTTGTCATCCTGCCTAAAAGCGCTAAATTTCCACTGGTCACAGATATTGTACAAGCTGTCATACAGCTGTTTGGTGTGTACCGTCAGGCTGATGCACTTCTGAGGAGATTAGATGAAGAATATATATGTGAATGTGTATGAGTGGGAACAGGGATCGGGAATTAAAACATTTCATCTGGTGAATTGACATCCTCTTGATGAATAATAACATGGTGGCCTAGATAGAGAGCTAACTAATTGGCTGATGAATATTGATCGGTTGTCTGTGTGAGGTTTATGTTTCACTCTATTGGCATTTCACAGCTCGTGAGGATCCTGAATGCTGGCTTATTTGTCAGTTTGTCATGGTGGCGGTGGGGGAGGAGCTGTCACACATGATACACTGGTAAAGGTAAAAATCAACCCTTGGCTCTGTGCCTCTTTTGCTTTCAGTCTCTCTGCTCTGTTGCCACTCTGCTGCTTTACCCCTCTGCCATCCATCTTCTTCCCTGGTTACATGTTACAGCTACTTGTGATTTCAGCTGACCGGGGCGAAGCCATATATCTGAGCTGTTCATGCTATAAAGTGCCAAAGAACAAAAACAGGGCGATGTATAGATGCTGACAGAGATAATGGAAAGACCTGAGGGGGGACAGAGGGAAATTGGTGATAAGGGAGATGAAGAGAACAGATAATTTAGCTGCAGTTACGAGAGATATCACAGTTAATTAAGGTTTTAAAAAGTGTGTGTCTGATTATGCCTGTAGCCCTGGGCAGTAAGTGAAGTTCTGCTTAGCACAAAAACTTCTGAGCATTACAGTATAAGTCAGATACCTGCCACACATACTAGACAGCACATAGAGCTATGACACACCTGACAGAGTAATGGTTATGGTCCCCAGCTGTCTGAAGAGGACAGTGAGACAGAGAGACAGATTATAACCAAGAGGCCCGAGAGGAGAGAAAAAAAGGACGAGTTAAATTTGGCCAGCACACCGTCAGGGGGGAGACAGATGCACACTCCAACCGTGTACTTTGCTGTTACACATATGAGGACATAAGCATCTTTGACATCTCCCAAAATAAAATCAATAAAATATTCATGCAGTTCTAGCTTTGAAAAGCAAAGACTAATGCAGCACGCTGAGTGAAATGGTCAACAACACAATATAAACACAATGTGCTCTTTGTTAGCTAACGGCGATTAATATATTTTTATTCGAAGAAACCCATGAAGCGCCGCACATCGAGACATGTCGTGTTCACGGCTAAATCTGGTTGACCAGTTGTTAGCCTTTAAACAGACACGTCTAATTGTCTGTGTATGTCTAAATTTGATTCGAAAGCAAAATGTATTTTTTTAACTATAAAATTCATGTTTACCCATTGAGCAATTTTCTTTTGTTTGGAGATCTAAAAGGTCTAAATTTTGTCAGGAAACGCTTGTGATCAAACAGTAACACATCTAATCAAAGTACACAGAGCAGCATTATCCGATGTTTACGCCTTTGATAAGCTTATGCAATGTTAAGTTTATTCCCTTTCAGAGCTGCCGGGTCTACTTATTAATGCAACTCTGATAATTAATTGAATTTTCACCAGGATCTCTGTATTGTGCATCTGTTTGTTAAATCTTACCATTTTAATTTTCTTGGTAACCAGTGACATTTACCTCTTTGACGCTCTCACCTGTGGTTGCAGCAGCGGGAGTCTGATATGAGCCAGCAGCCGGGGTAGGTGGCGTTGTCGAGTGGAAGCGTCATGACGGACCCAGGTTAGTAAAGACGTAACCACGGTTTCCTCATCCGGCACGTTAATCTCATCAGATGTGAGGAGCCTTTCCATCTCCTCCACTGGTAGTAGGAGGAACTCCTGGCCTCCAACCACCTCCAGAAAGTGCTCCTGGGGGTGCAAAGAAGGTTAGAGTAAAACTGAAGGATGGATGAGATGGACTGGAAGAGAAAGACAGAAGTGGGGGGAGGGGGTTAGAATAGATGAATAATGCATTGCAAAAAAAAAGAAAAAGAAGAAGAACAGCAGAGAGGATTTGAGAGGAGAGAGAAAAGGGATTAAGGGTTTGAAGAATACAAGTGGAGGGAGGAAAAAAGAGGAGGAAATTACAGCTTGAGAAAGGTCAGATAAAAATTGAGAGGAAAAGCTGCAAAAGGGGATCTGGATGAGAAAATATGAGATCTATTGAGTCACAAGACGGGAAGAGATGATGTGACAAAAATTAATGAGTGTAATCGGTTAATCTGACAGTTATTTGCTAAATGAACTGATTAATTGCTTAGTCTATTTGCAGCTCCTTAAATTGCAGATTTCCCTGCGTGTTTTTGTCAAACAGTCCAACAAGCTACAGCTGATCACAATCTTGTGAAAGCTTATTTCTCATTAGATGTAAAAAAAAAAAAAAAACTCTCAACATATTTCTACCATCTGTAAAATTAAAAGAAAAAACAGAAAAAAATGTGACCTGAATAAAAAGGTAGGAATCTAAGCAGTGTCGAAGTCATTCTTGTTTAGCTCTTACACAAAGACTGCAATAATCCTGTAAGCTTTGTGAGTCTGAACGTGTGTTTGAGAGTGAATTACAGACACTGACAGTCACACCCAAAGAAAGCCACCTTTATGACATAATTACCCGAGATTAAACCTTAACAATAATCCACTTACAGAGAACTGGAGAGAAAAAGAGAGGAACAGTACTACAGACAGAGACAGACACGCAGAGTGACGCTGGATGAAAAATGAGGCATGTAAAAAAAAAAAACCACACAAAAAAACAAGAGAACAAGAAAAAGAATAATCAAGTCGATGAAGGAGCTATTTCACCGTCACCATAGCAACTCTGTGCAGAAAAACAGCCATTGTGGCAATAATGATTGTGGTGCTGTGTGAATGAGGAGCCAATTTGTTACCAAGAATAAGATGAAGGCTGGGGGTGACTGGAGTCTTACTGAATAAAGCTGTACTGAGGTTAAAGGTGAAAGAATCCTCTTAATTGTTTTTACATGTCACTGTTAAAGAGTTGCAATCTACCTAGATCTGCAACATCATTTCCAGCACTGCGTTTCCCAAAGCAGTCTTTTCATTCATTTTCGTGTGGTGATTCTACAAGCAGGGGAGGTATACAAAGATGTGAACTGGCTTTGTACCCACCATGGTGTAGGCGTGAGCAGCCCGATGCAGGTCATGGCAGCCCTGAGCATCAGCATAGGAGCGGATGCCGAGACAGTTGGAGGGGTGGAGCTGCTTCATGAGGAAGGAACAGCAAGCCTGAACTACAGATGACAACTGCAGCAGGCAGGAGGCTGACAACAGAGACTCAATGGTGTCTTCCCTCAACTCAAGACGGCCTGGATGACATGAAGGGAAGAGCAGAGGAGCAAGATGGTGAAGAAAGAGAATTTAAAACGTCATAAAAAAATGGAAATAATGAGACTTAATGTTATTTAAGAGATCTGCAGTACTGCAACAAGATCACATGTGTTCATCTTTTTAAAAAGAGAATAATCATTAAATATTTAGTTAACATAGAAAATGTAAAGGCAGCTAGAAAATACTTCCTGGAGATCTTAGCCATTAATAAATGTTGAGCTCACAGTAATGTTGGTGCTTGTTTGCATAATTTAGATCTTGCAGAGTACTGTACAGGACCTGGTCTGTTAATCCTAGCATGTCTTCATACTCTCTGTAATGGAGTATACAACGGACTAACCACACAGTTCACTTTTGCATTTTGCATGTATATTTTGTATATTGTATTGATGCATTTATATTTGTATATACTGATGCTGGAGCACAATTTCTAGATGGTGATGAGATGATGATCATTTCCACCCCCCAAAAGGAGGATAAGCCACAGAAGGTCATTGCTGAAAAGACTGGCTACTCAGAGTACTGAGAGGAAAGGTGTGGAATGAAGAGGTGCACAAGCAACAGGGATGAGTGCAGTTTGAGGAGAGAAAAGTTGATTGAAGAACTTTGAACAGCTTCACAAGGAGTGGACTGAAGCTAGTGTCAATGCATCAGGATGCACCGCACACTGAAGTCTTGAGAAGACTGCAGCAACTGTCTGCAGCATTTCTAATGTGAAGGCACCACAGCCCTCTACGAGGAGGTTTTAGAGCACTTCAAGCATCCATCTGCTGACAGGCTTTATGGAGATGCTGTTTTCCTTTTCCTGCAGGACTCCGAATCTGCCAACAGTGCCAAAACTACTATCAAACTATGAACTATGAAGAATGTACACACAGCGTTCAGATCATCTTCATCTAGACAACAGGTTGTGTGTACTGAACTAGAGATAATGAATATTTACTGGAAGTGAAATATTCTAAGAATACTGGGTGTTATGAGATCTATCATCAAAAATAAAAGCAGAGTACTGCTGTATAAATATATAAATAGAGAATTTGGTGCATTTGTCGACAATTTAATGTTTTTTTAAAATTCCAAAATCATGACAAAAGAAGTGGCCATGTATCCGTAAAGAGTAACGTGAACATAGAGTTAAGTGATAAAAGCTGATGTCAATGCCCACCCACATCCGCTAATGGCACAGCAGCATATTTGCAAATCTCTTTAAAGATGCTTTTGCCTCTGCAAGCCACTTTGCAAGCCGCTTCCAGTTCAGCTCCTCCTTCTTATGGTATGTAACTGAACTGATGGCATGCATGCTGTCACTGATGTCTGTTCTGTTCTATGCTGTAGGTTTGTCTTGCTGCTATTCAGTGCATGCACATGGAAGAGAACCACACAGCCAAGCACTATTTACTACAGAGAAGAAAAAAACAATAATTCCTTCTTAAAGATCATCCTGTTTTTCTAAAAAGAAAAAGGGAAGTTGACCACTATATACCTGTGTATGCATATTGCACCAGGACCCACAATGCATCAGGGTCTACACCCTCCATCTTCACCTCGTCCTGCTTGGCTTCCCGCACATCACTGGTGAACATTGCAGCAAAGTAGTCAGACACAGATGAGAGGACAAGCCTGTGAGGAGAGAGTGTCAGGGATCAGTCACAGAAGACGGATGGCTGTAATGGAGCAACAGAAAAAGTTCACTTTGACCTCGCTGACAGGATTGGGTCAGAACACAGATCAGAAAAGAGAAAGAAGAGGCACAACAAAACCATCTGAAGAATGAAACAGGAGGAGAAACCTCAAGGAATAAAAATAAATAAAGCTTGTTGCATTGTCAAACAGCATATGCCTTTGGTTAAAAACAATCCCCTCAACTTTCTGAAACTTCCAATCTGATATTAACATACAGCCACAGTAAAAGCCTAAATGTCCCAATCGACTGATTTGTCTCTTTTAACCTCTTTACGTTAAGTGTTAAAGTGTACAGGAATAAGGAAATTGGTCAGACTTCAGCACCAGGTGAGATTTCTGTAGCAGTTAGGAATGTAAAGGTCTCATTATATAATCTCCTTTTAAAAATGAAGGTCGCTGAAAGACCTTTATATTAGAGATGGAAAAAATGAGTTAGAAACCAGTGTGTGCAGAAAATGGTAAAGAAAAAAAAGTAATTATTTCATCAGTAGAGATTAAAAAGGACACCTAGTGTCCCCTGACCTTCAGTGTAAAAACATACTTTATCAACCATCCATTTAAAAAACAAATGATGCAGAGCCTGAGATCTTTAAAGAAACATAAATGCTATTTCAACAACATTCAGCCAGATTTCTGTCTAAGAAAGAAGAGACGGCACCTACAACTTTTCAAAGAAATACACAGGCACAGTTTCTAGACTTCCTTCAGTGTGGTACAGAACAGTCTGTGTCAGTAATAAGACTGTAAAACCTAACTCATGATGATTCAGACCTCTGGCTTGGAAGATTCTCTCATGATCCATTCTTAATGACTTGCCACACAATCCTTCTATCGTACTGCCAGATCCAGTCAAAAGTGAAGCCCTCCTCTGCAATGCTATCCAGTGTGCTCAGTTGGGCCTTGCTTGACACCCCTCATTTATATAGTATACATTAATTCAAGATGTAACTTTACTCTTTGAATAAGATATGTGTTTAATTTACCCACTGCTAGTTTCTTAATCTTTTTGCACACACTCATACCCCTTGGTTAAAAAAAGGAGAACAGAAACATGAGCAAATCTAGTGATGAGATAAAGAAAGAAGAAAGAAGACAGAAAGAAAAGAAGGGGAAATTTGATTATAATAAGACAAGGTTAATGTAAAATTTAGTGGCAGGAAAGTCTGAGGAAGAAGTTAGCTAGTGTAATGGAAAGAAAGTGAGATGAAGGACAGAGAGAAATTATCTTAAGGTCACTTGTAAGAAGACAGTTAATTAATTCCATTCTGCAACAATCCATTAACCTTTCGTGCCACTGTAAAGTTACACACAGGCACACAAACATCTAGGCATTACAACAGCACTCGTTGGTGAATATTTACTTCCTGCTAGAGATGCCTTTGCACATGAAACCTCCAAGGAAGGATGCAAAATGCCATTGACATATATTTTTGATATCTGATCTAAATGTATCTGAGTAAAAGGCTCCCGAGTAAACCTTTTGAGGTGCAGCAACTAGTCAGTTTAACTGATTAACGTAAAAATAATTCGGAACGTTTGTTCAAGCAAAGTCCCAAACATGACCTGAATGATGACATAAACTCGTGACTCATATTAACATGTTAAACTGGCTTTGTTTGTGGCTACTTGAACATGAGTGTGTGCATGCACTGAATGTGTATAATCTCATTACTGAGTGTGACACTGGGACCTTGACAGATAGCCTGAAGCAGAGAAGAGCTGTGTGAGCGTGTGTGCAAGTGCGTGTGCGTTTATTGTGCAGACAAAGATGTCAAAAATACACTACAGTCAGCAGGAAGTCGTTCTGCCAGTATTCTAGTCAGGTATCTTCCC